TGAGGTTATTATTATATATATGTGTGTGTGTGTGTGTGTGTGTGTGTGTGTGTGTGTGTGTGTGTGTGTGTGTGTATTTGTGTATTAATATTCAAGAATGAAATATTTCTTCAAGTTATTTGAAACTTATATTTTAAACTTAAATTTACACAGCAATGGTTTCGCTGTCATAAAGTATTAATGTTAATTAAAAAATAAAACAAAAAAGTTTGCTTCTTCCAAATCACAATTTCATTCAGAGTAATGAGCATGCAGCATTATTATAATGCAATTACACGTGTCCTTATTCAAAATCACCGCCAATCACCGACAATTAACCTATTAACGATATACTCGCGCGAATTGCTTCTCCTTAATTAATTGCGCCAAGAGTTTGTCGGATAATCATCGGGTTTGTTGCTCGGCCACGTATTCCAGTATCAGGAATATCACATCACATATATATCACATATAATCTCGCATGCTTTTTTGCATTTCAGGCCAAATAGACCTCTGGACTCAGAGCATGACGGGCTGCCCGTGTAACTTCAACTCGTCCAAGACTGCCTGCGCCTGCTGCGTACCATCCGGTGGCTGCAGCTGCGGTGCGACAATGCCGAACAGGTGCACGCAATGCGGCCTCGAGAATTACTGTGCCAACAGTGAGTATGACCACGTGCGTCCGGCCCTTGGCAACTTTAAAAGCAGTGCGCGTCGACGCCCCTCTCATCCGACTCCAAGGAGTTGAGCCTTTGCACTATTGCCGTTTCCTTGGGACGAGCTGAGAGAATACGAATGAACCACGTCCGAATTGCCTTCCAATCCCAATTCTTTCAAGCAAAATTACCTTTCAAGATTACGTACGAATGGAGAGTGCGAAATTTCTATCTCTACAATACTTATTAGAGCATGCGCCTTTACGCGAATTATTGACGTACGATTGAGATTCGTTTGTACATTAACATTATACGAAACGCGATTATATTTGAATTTCGTCTAAATTTGCATTTGAATGAATTTGATCATTTACAAAAATTTCTTTTTTTTTTTTTTTCTTTCTTTGTTCTTTCTTAATGAATTATTACGAGGAAGGAAATTAATGATCAAAATTGAAAATACCTTGCCAAATTCGGAGACAAAAGTGTCTTAGCACTCAAATTTTTATAATTTCACAACTTAATAATCATTGCGAGTCTACGGATATTTTATACCGCCATAATTATTAACATATATTCAATTATAATTAATTGAATTTAAAATAAATAAATAGTTACCTTTTAACTAATGTATTAAATTGACATTTTTTAAAAAGAATATTAATCATGAGTTTTCATAATCACATCTCTTATTTGTTCAAACGACAAAATAAGAAATTAGTATTATCTATTCTATGTATAACTATGTATAATAACTTATTGCAGACAGTCTGAAAGGTGTTTTTATCTGAAATTTTTAAGAATAAAATTAAAAATCTAACGTATTATAGAAACAATTTATTCAACTAACACGAATGGCCAAAATACATAAATATGGGAATTTGAAAAACTCCCACAGCTCTGAGAAATCCCAACGACGTCACTTTTTAGCAATTAAAAAGTTATTCCAAGTATGATACTTAACAGGCATTTAAAAACTAAGCATACAATACTCATAGCCTTCGAGCTTCGAGCAATTAATGAAATTGTAATTTCATAGCTTGCTAACAACTACCTTCAATTTCATCCTTATACTTTCACTTTTTATATGTGGACAATGTCAATTGTGTGCAATTATTATCGCAAATCTATCAATTTAATTCATAATAGAAAATCTGTCAATATTCATTATTTATTTGGGGTCGAATAAAACTTTCAATTTTTTTCAAAATTTCAATTAATCTTCTACAAGTTTTTATCACGCGTATAATTACTTAGCACTTCTTTCGACACTTTGGACATTTTCACTCAGACTCTTTCAATTAACACCTACTTTCATGTTTCCACGAAAACCTATTGAAATACATTCGTTAGGCTCCTTTACTTTTTTCTATTTATTTCTTTTTTTTTTCTTTTTTTTTCTTTTTTCTTTTTTCTTTTTTCTTACTGTAACTTCAATACTCATTAGTACATTTTTATATTAAGTAAGTTATTATTTTCTTGCAACTATTCTTCATCGCGAAGAATGATAAAATTCACAACACATCGATATTAATGATAATCTTATCTTTTCCCATTGGAAAACAATGTATTTTAAAAATGAATTAAATAAAATTATAATAATATTGATAATAATAATAATGATGATAATAATAATAATGATGATAATAATAGTAATGATGATAATAAAGAAAAGAAGAGAAAGAAAGTGATTTCTTACTCATCCTAATTTTACTGATTTTTTTACATCATTTGCATTTAATTACGTCTACTCTAATCATTGCCGTAAATTTAAAATTTCCATTATTCATTGAACTATTTAAATAGCCGTTACAGTTACACTTTCCGCCTATTAATTTTAAATGTAGAGCACTTAAAAATCACTCGATTAATATCTATTTAAAGTCGTTTTCATTGATGTATTAGGTAAATATTCAGTTTTAATAATTCCAAGTATTTGTTGAACGTCTCTAAAAGGCAAATAAAACGATAATCAAACAGGATTGAAATTAATCTTGGCATCAATCGTAATTATTCCAATTTCTCACTCTTTAATTAATTCTCGTATTTAAAATTTATTTTGGCCATTTAAATTATTATAATACTATGTATTTTAACAAATCGTTAAATTAACGGCTTAACATTGAATGTAATAAATCGAGTTGAATTACGACTTGATCGTGGCAACGTTTCCAATTAATTGAGAAAATTGATTCTCACTGGGATAAACGAAATTTTTTATCAAGTGGCATAACGGCTATAATTTTTCCCTCGAAATGTTCATTCGAGGGATCGTAGAGACATTATTTGTATTCGATTTAATATTTTCCAAACGATGTCTCCCGAATTGTTAATTCGAAGGCAAAAGTCAGTTTTCCGTGCGTCCCAACACTTTCTTCGTTGGTCGATGATTGTCGAATGGTCACAATGTTAAAGCAATGCGCAGCAAAGCCACGAAAACTGAAATTACTAAAGCCGTCGTTTTCTTATTCTTAATACTTTAAGGACTAACCTCAGAAATCCCAGCACAAGCGCGGGAGCTGATTGAGCCAGTGAAGTCTGGTGTTCCTCCAAAAGGCAATTCTTTATCCAGCCTCGACCGAGAAATAGCTCCTTTGAAAGCTAAAGTTCCTATCCGGTGTCGTTTGGAAGTGCTCCTTAGAAAATCAGTCAGCTAAATTGTACCCTCAACCTTGGAAACAGTCAACTCGGGACTGAAGCGTATCACACGAGAAGTTCACCGCTATTGGATCACTCGTGATCAAACGACATCTATAGCTGATGGACTGTATGGACTATCCACTTACGGTATATAGCGAAGGATATTCCAGCCACAAGAGTTATCAATTACAAATACTTGATAGCCGTGTGTGAATTGAATGCCTAATTACACTTTTAGCACAATTTGTGCGCATATACGGTAAAGAACATTGACACACTTTAGAATATGACTGATTGGATTTTGAAAATGTGAGCAGCTCCGTTAGATCGGCTCTCGGACCATTTAATTATTGTCGAGTTGAATTGTTAATGTCTTGCCATTGATCATTGGTATTCAGCTGACATCTTAATAATGCGAAGGTTATTTACAAAATTATAAAATACGCGTGCGAATATGAGGTTTCATTACCTCTACGAAAACCTATGAATATATTCGAAGCAGTAGGACAAATAATAACAAAAATACACGATTCAAAACTAATTATACCCTATAAATAACCTAATTTATTTAGAGATCTATTAATATAATCAATTACTCTATTAATAGAAATGAAGCAATAAGATTAATAAAACGGGTGCGAAAATGTTTCTATAAAACCATATAGAGAATACCGATTTTTTTACTCTATCGAAAATAGAAGCGAATGAGTATTAATAGTTTAATAATCATGTACTAAGTATAAAAATTACTTTTATTATTAACTTGGTTGATTACGTAAAATTTTTATGTTATTGTACTTATTTATAATCTTATTTATGATTATTTATACTCATTTATACTGAATTTTGCTCTGTTCTCTGAACTCTTTATACTAAATTATTATTGTATTATTTTTTATATTGAATTAATATCAGTATTAATTTTTATAATTGAAATTTACAATTTATAAAACGATAATATTATCTAAATTATCGTATATATATATATATATATATATATATATATATATAAATAAATTATCCAGCACATTATTATAATTTGTTGATTTCAATTCTTTATACAAATATTTTATAGAAAACACAAAAAGCAAAAAAAATGTCATCAAATTTTATATAAAAGCTCATTAGCTATTTAAACGTATTAAAAATTTATAAATATTAATCTCGACAAAATTTTATGATTATCAGTCACATATTAATTTGTGTAATAATAGCTAAAATCTTTTATTACTTATTGCTTGTATAATAAATTTTGTGAAATTAATTGCATATAATTTTTATTGAAATACTGAAAACTTGAAATCATTGTAATACAAATTTGTGGGCTAATTAATATAATCCATAAAAAATGTATTAATTAATCTGTTTAAGTAAAATGGTATTTAAATAAAATTTACAAATTATTCACTGATATTAATATATCACCGAATACTTCAATATTTAAAAAATTAGGCAATTTAATTGAATAATATATCTTAGGCTGTTATGTTGTCTAATACGTCGTCAAAATTTTTTAAAACTAAAATTCTTTTTCACTGAAATAAAATTTTAATTTTTTTAAGAATTAGAATTCTTTTTCTATTGTATTAAAATTTGTTTACATCATAAATGAAAAAAAAAACATGTTTTATTTACACAACTATATTATTATTAAGTAAAATAAATGTTAAGATAAATTCCAATGTTAGTGAGTATACGAATTTCATATGTTTGATATAACCAACGTGAAAATTTTTATACTATACAATTAATGGTATTGAATAGTATTTGACACTACGGAATTTCTCTGTTTGTATGCATACGAAAACAGCGCTACTGTTATTAGAAAATAGTTATAAACGTCATCAGAATTAGTAAAATTTTATTTGAATGCACACATTGCTAAAAGAAATATCAAATCGAATATAATTTATGCAAACATTGGAAAATTCGTGATTTTCCTGTAAAAACAAAAGTCAATGTGCTAACGTCTTACTCCTCTCTCCCAACAGAGCGATGTGAAATATATTGCTTCGCTCTATCTTTCAATGATTTTCTCTTATCTTCCTCTAAACGATTAACTTAAGTGTTTTGTTGCACGCATAAGCGATATCTAAGGATGTCGTCACGGCAATAGTACTTGGCAGAAAGAAAAAGCAAAAAAAGCTTGAAAGCTTGAGAGAAGGCGATACGAAAAGCCAAGGAAAAACATCTCACAGATTTATCCTCGACCTTATACTTCATCATTGTATCTGTTTCCTTCGCAGTGTGCAATGTAACTCTGGATAGCCGACAGTTGTTCAGCAAATCGGATCGGGGCTTTGGGCAAATAAAATCACCGCAATTCAAGGGGCCCTCGATATGTACCTACAGGTTCGTGCCGGACACCGGGCAGCGAGTCGAGCTACAGGTCTGGCGAATGATATCTATTGGACAGCATAATGGCACTGCGTGAGTACACACACATAAATAATTGTACACACACACACACACACACACACACACACATATATATATATATATATTGAGCATTTATACGTTATATAACAATGTCGAGAGACTTTTCTACCTTTTGTGGCGGAGAAGAAGCTCCGACTCAAACTGTCACTTCCGTCTAAGTATCCGCTGAATGCTTTCTCGCCCTGTCATTTTCATCGTACATTTCCGTCCCTTGTGTTATTGGATTTTTTGGATTTTATTAAGATTTATACTGAAACCGACGAATGCTTATCCCATACTGTAAATGATGAAATTTCTATTCGCAACTCCTAGTCGATAGCAATGAGTATTAATAATTCATTGTGAACATAACGGTTTAAAGCATTTGGCACAAAACAATATTAATGTATTAATAGTCGTTACATGTTCTAGTACTTCAATGGATGTAGCGATAAATATTGTCAGTACAATCGAATTTATGACCAATTATAGAAGTACTTGAAAGATTTATTTATAATATAATATTATTATGTTCCGAGGAGAAACATTAGTCTTAATAATTATAATAAAGGAAATATTAAATTTTAATATCTACGATTTTTATAGATAATTAATGATTTATTATATTATTAAATTATTACATATAATTATTAATTTTAACATTGAATTTAAATCAGTTTTATGCTTTTTCCATAATGAAATAAAGTTAGACCATTAGGTTTTTAAATTTCTTTTTATATCTAAAGAATATTTGATCGTCAATGAGTTACATTCAGGTACATGAAGAATATATTGAATTTCAGTTAAAAACGACAAATATAAAAGTTTAGTAATCTAATATCCATTAAATTGTTCACAAAATCGTTATTCTTCTTCTTTTTTTTTTTTTTTTTTTTATTTATTTACCATAAAATAATTGCGTATTAATAATACAAATTATAATTTTCTAGTATGTTACAAATATTAAAATTTTTATTCTTAATATGAAATATCCAAATGACATTTAGAATTGTCAAATAAATATCTTCAAAAAGTACTTCTGAAGTTCATAAATATGTATAGAAAGAATGAATACGTGCACATACGAATTGCAGTACGAATTATTTAGATCTAGTTAAATATTCCTTTAAAATGTACTGGCTACAAAATTTTTTTAGACATTTTAAAAAAATTAAATCTCAAGTGAACTTCAAACTTATAATATAAATAGAAATAGAAATATTATAAAAGATAAAAACTTTAATATTGAATATTTTTTATGCTTATCTACGGCCTCATAATATTTCATGCTATTGGTGCAAAATTTTATTGACTTATAAAAAATTACTTAATAGAGATTATACCTAAATGATTATTGATTACAGTATTTGATGTATCCATTTGTTTATTTATAATATTTAGAACGTTGAGTGAATTATATATAATATAAAACTGTACAAATGTATATAACTTTCAACTAAAATATGTTTATTATTTTTATAAATAATTCAGTGCTTCTTGGAGTTAAATGTTTCTATTTCAGATAACTCTTGATCAAAGATCTTTGCAACCGATAGTATTTTCAATTTGTCATACTTCAAGGGACAAGTGCGCGTTCGACATTGGAAGATACGATACCTTCCCGTAGCATAGCACGCGCAGAAAAATTGCCGTCCCTTGTCGCTTCGCATTTGCTTCTCTCTCTCTCTCTCTCTCTCTCTCTCTCTCTCTCTCTCTCTCTCTCTCTCTCTCTCTATCTATCTATCTATCTATGCATCTCTATCTATCTATCTATCTATGCATCTCTCTCTCTCTCTCTCTCTCTCTCTCTCTCTCTCTCTCTACCTCTGCCTGTATTACTCTATACATATGTATATAAACGTTCAAACACGTTTATGTGTACTCTCTCACACACGCGTGAAAGTTCGCGTTCCCGACGAACGAGCAGTAATATGGCGAACTCGGGTACTTTTACGTTCTTTTTTCATTGTATATACCTATGTATGTCTCTCGTCTGTTTGACGACCCGTAAAACTTTTTACAATTTTTCGATGCGAGAGTCCTGCAGAAACTACAAGTATAGAGAAAAGAGTGAGAAAGAGCGGAAGAGAGTTAGCATGACGATGGAGGAGGAGAGAAATGAAGAGATAACCATTGCAGGTGACAGACTCCTAGTTTCATCCATTGTACTTTTATATATCGGCTTCTGTCCAGTTTTACTCATTCTCTTTGTATACGATTGTTCTTTTAAGGAGACCCACCCCACCCCCCTATCCCTCGCCACGGCCACATCAACACTCGCAACACTTTCTCACTCTTTTTTTTTTTATCACCCTTATTCAGACTGTTTTTGTTTCTATATATACAATTTATTTTCTTGTTCTATTAATTCTGCTTCTTTTTCTTTTTTCAATGGAATTTCACATTTTATGCACAAACTTGAGTCTTTGTTTAATCGTCATACTAGTTTTGACGAGATATTTGGACAAAGTTAGTTTGTAAAAAGTTAGATCTTTAGAAATAGAAGAAATTTCATCAGCAATTGTACTTTTAAAAGTTTTTTAATTCACATGGAGATCAGCAAAGTAATGTTAATCAATATTTTTCTTCCGTATTCTAAGTGTATTACTTCCACGATTTTTCCAATAAAATATTATTGTTTTAAAACGTTGTACTATTCCATAATAAATATTATATTTAAATAATTTCATAAAATATGCTTTTCATATAATTAATGATTTTTTCATCACATCAATTCATCATACAAATTAAAATTTTCGCAGTAAAATTGATGATAAACTGATAATAAATTATTTATATTTATTCAATATAATTTTCATTTCCAAATAAAAATGCTTAGTTATATGAAAATCAAGAATTTCATTTAGGATAAAAAATTATTTACACGAACTCTGGATACATTGAACATTCTATGTGATAGAGTAGATTTAGTGTTCCGCTTACATGGGAAAAACTTGAATGAAGAAGTGCACAATGACGGGATAACTACTACTTAATTAGGAGTTGACAGGAAAAAAGCAATTCGACGCTTAAATTACCGTCAGTGCGAAATCTTACGACTCTTTCGTTCGATTTTTAATGTGTTTTTTTTTTTTTTTTTTTTTTTTTTTTTTTTTACCTAACGCTTAGTCCTATTTATTATTTATTTAATTTTCATATTTCAAAGGGTAATTGAAACGTGTGTCGAATCTTATTTATATATTCATAGTATAAGAACATCGTAGACTCCATTTTTATATTATAATAATCCTTGAAATTTGTAATACTTGCTACATAATAAAAATAATGATTTAATAATTAATTGCGATGGATTAAATGTAAAGTTTATTACTGAATATAACATAGTGCGTGAAGTTAAGGAAATATTCAATTAAGTCTTTACTAACATTATTTATGTTACGATTATAAAATATAGTTGACATGAATAATAAAGTTCATTGTCAATCGGCAACTTACTTAAGCTTCGCGTCGTTTGCAAAAGTCGTATGTCCAGAATTTAATTTCCGGCTAAGCAAAATATCATATCCTTTTTCAATTTTTTAGTTCCATGTAAAAAAATATCATTCACATTAATATTAAGATGGATGAGTAAAAAAAATATAATTGCAACATAAACAATATTGCAAATATCGAGTGAAATTTTAAAGTAAATAACAATAATGTTTATAAAAATTTTATTCGATCCTTTTAGGATTACGGTTTTAAGATTTTAAAATATAAAGTCACCTTTTTACGTATGAATTCACTCTGATTTAGGGAATGTATATAAATTTATTCGTTGAGTATTTCAGTATTTCAGTCCAGGTAACCTTTAACGTCATATAGCGCGCCATTAATTAGATAAATACATGTATAAAATTTACTCACGCTAAGTACTTTCGTAAAGTAATTGTGTAGATGATAATTTTTAAATGAAAAAAATTTTCCATCCAACGTACAAAAAAAAAATTCTAAAATATTTTAAAATTTTGTAAAAATATATTCTCAATATTTAAACATTACACGAGCATTTCAATATATATATATATATATATATATTAAAATAGTATTAAAATATTAAAATAATCGATAAATTATTATTTAAAAATGAATTTATCTAATGGTATTATATTAAGAGCAAATCTTACTTCGTCGCTTCAAAATATATTATTTCACGCCTAATATAATGAGAATTAAAATAATGAAAATTACATCCTACTAATCGTGTTTTTCTAACTTAATCTTGATCATTGCATCGATCAGTTCTCGTGTAAACTATTTTTGCCGAAAAAATCACTAGTCGTAGGAAACGGACATACCAAGATGCAATAACCCGACACTCATGGATTTTGAAATAAGTGATAAGTCCATTGGAAAGTCCGAATTTTTGTTGAGAGAGTGAGAGAGAAAAGAAGCCGGACGGAAGTCCGCGAGTCGTAAGAAACAATTTTCACGGCAGCTGTTAAGAATCAACGTTGCGCACCCCCCAGGCGTCACATGTTTCCTCGTAAATAAGAGCGCAAGGTCCGGACGAGCAGCTCGTTATGCGCTTTCTCTCCCTTCCTCGTATTCTCGCGCGTGCACGAACTTTCGTATAATTTAAGTTGATGCAAGTTATGTCCGTGGGACAGGCTGGTTGGGCTTACGACTGCCGGCTACGAGCTTATTTGTGACACATAAACTGCGACGCGCGACCGATTCGGTCGCCAAGGCATTCGTCGCATCCTTGTTGCCTTGCTTCTGATGCCTCGTCCCTTACTATTGTGAAAGTTACAAGTTGCGCTCGCATTAAGCGGAGGCGGACACTTCCCGAATCGATTTTAATTAACTCGACGCTCTATTTCCCTCGTAGCAGCGTTAGCTTTTACGAATAAAAATAGTCTTGTGAATTCATTTTGTAAATACCAGCGCATTAATTCAGATTTACAGGTATTTACCTTTCAAATATTTTTATTCCTGATTGCAGAGAAAATTCTTATTCATTCTGATCTTTGTATTTATCTGTAATTATATAAATAATATATATATATATA